CCTAGAGTGGCAACTGACAACACCTGTATCTGGTCAGAGATCTCTAGCATCTTGGCCAGCAGTTTGTGTGTGGGGTGGGGGGTGAGCTGAGGCATTGGCTTAGTTGCAACTGGAAAAGATTGGCTAGCAGACTTAGGGGTGGTCATCTTTACTCCTTGGTATTAAATAGTTCTTAGATTTCGGAAGCTGATATGGGGAGGACTTCCAAGTGAGTTCACAGACAGGCAAAAGTGGTTGGATCACAGAGCTCCAGGGGCAAGATGAAACTTGCAAAAGAGGAGGGAGGAATTGTGGAGGGATTTGCAGGGGTAGTGAATTAAGGACTTTACAACAAAGAGCTTCCCATTCCCAAGAGTGTACAAACCCAACCTAGATGACCTCTCTGTGGGGAAGCTGTGAGTGGGAAGATCCTGCCCCAATACCAGACTGAATTTGGACTTGGGGCCTCTGGGCTTCCCTGATTTTCCACCTCTTCCCCCTGTGGCCTGCATCTCCAGTGGAATTCTTTCCAGTTGGCTGCCTTTGTCCTCTCTCACCTCTCTGCCTTCAGAGTAAAACCACAAAATCTGTGGCATCTACGGGGATCTGATTCTCTGGGAATCCACATCTATACAGCTGGATGTTCTTGTACTAATCAACATGTTAGTGCTTCTTTGCTGTGCTGGACAGCATCACCCCTGAAACAGAGATCACCTGTCTCACCCAGAAAACCATTCAGAACCTCCTGGAAGAGGTGAATAGATGCTCAGTAGTTTGAACTTCTGTGGATTGTGGGGACGCATGAATGATTTGAAGAGGTGAGTAAAAGTTTGGAACAGACCTGGCAGGCAAGTGAGCAAGTGGACCAATGCACCAGAGCTCCCACAGGTTTCCCTGTGTACACACCATTCCATGTGGGACACTGACCTTAGAAAAGAGCCAAGAGGAGGTAGATATTGCATTGAAATCCTGGTGTGGTTGCTTTGCTTTAGCTTAACTTTCAAGGAACAGACTATGGGTTAACTGTAACTTTTTCAAATCTACCTGTTTACAGTCTAGCTGCAACTTACTCAATATTTGTGGTTCAATTTCCCAAGAAGCTGGTCTAGTCCACTCTCCAGGTCAGGCTACATTAACCTGCCTAGGAATTGTCTGTCCTTGAGTCATGACTTTATTCTTGGCCAAGATGTATGCAGGGTGCTACATGGTACCGAATGCTGTAGTGGAGTGTGTATGTGGTGGATGGAGGAGTGAACAAGATCAGTGATTGACATCTTTGGTACAGCCCTGTGGCAGATAGAATTATTGTTTCAAATATTTATTGTCCTTCCCTACTGGGCCTCTCACTATAGGATAGTTTACACTCATGCCCCACTGACAGTAGTGGGGCCATGTGCCTTGGCTTTCTTTGCCAATGGAATATGAGTAGAAAGGTAAAGTATCACTTCCAAACATGAGCTGTGTGTGGTGGCACATGCTTATAAATCCTACCTAATGGGGAGACAGAGGCAGGAGGATCACAGGTTCAAGAGCAGCCTCTGCAATTTAGTGAGACCTGTCTCAAAAAGTAAAAAAGGAGGCTGGGATGTAACTCAGTGGTAGAGCCCTTCTGGGTTCAATCCCAAGTACAAACAAACAAAAAACAAAAATAAAAACAAAAAAAACATTCCACAAAATAGTCTGGCAGCTTCCCTTGTCTTTTCCCTCTGTCATGAGCCTGGCAATATCTAGATCTAGAATTCTCTTTGAGCTTGGAACTCACAATGAAATGACATGAAACTAGGCTGTAGCCAGCCCACATGTAAGATGATGTGTAATGTGAAAAACATGTTTCTGCTGTTGGCTACTGATGTATTGAAGTTGTTCATCACCATATTATAATTAGTTTTAAAACTGTTACAGAATTAATACCTAAAATTGGGGTGCTGCTACAACAACAAAAAACAAAATAAGCCTAAATTATGTGGCATTGGCTTTGAGCTAGACAGTGACTGGTAAAAAAACTACTATTGGAAGTTGGAAGAATGGTGATACTTGTTTTGTAGTCATGAAGCATCTTGTTAAACTAAACTGGGAATAACCAAGAATATAATAATGACTAAATGACTTTAGGGCTTTAGGCAAAAAAAATATTAAAATAGCATACATTGGCCACTGTTGGGTGCATTGACAGATTACTGTAAGAAAAGAACAACTCAGAGAAATTGGTGAGTTTTTTCTTAATTTGTTTTTTAGTTGTAGTTGGTACAATATCTTTTTTTTATACAATATCTTTATTTATTTATTTTTATGTGGTGCTGAGGATCCGACCCAGTACCTTACACATGCAAGGCAAGTGCTCTATCACTGAGCTACAGCCCTGCCCCCAAATTGGTGAGTTTTTAAGCAGAAATGAAAGAGAATAAAGAAACTCCACTTTCCCCCACCCCAGTAATGGAGATTGAACCCAGGGGCACTTTACCACTGAGTTACATCCTCAGCTGTTTTAATTTTTTATTTTGAGACAGCATCTTTCTAAATTGCCCAGGCTGACATGAAACTTGTGATTCTCCTGCCAAGCTAGGAGTGTGTGTGTGTGTGTGTGTGTGTGTGTGT